TACCATTCTATCAAAAATATCACCTCAAAAAATAATATCATCTGTTTAGAGGTGGTAGACCCAGAAAAGTTTTGGGCAGATGTAATGCAGCGAGAGAAGAGTTGGGCCGAGGAAGGCAGTGTACCGAAAAAAATTAATGTACGTGTGGCACCCGGCGCTTATGAGATTGACGAAATTAATAAGTTCGTCCAAAAAGCTATATATGATTATCTATATCCGGATACCAAAACTATTATAAATCAGGGAGAACTTGATGATATGTTTAAATTGTCGGCGAACAACAACACTCTAAAATGTGAAATTTCATCTAAATTCATAATCAACTTTGATTGTGACAACAGTATAGCTAGCCTCTTAGGATTCAGTAATTCGAAGTGCCCGCCAAGGCCTGAAGCTTATGTCTCTACAAGGCCGATCAATATTATGAACCTCCATCTTGTTCAATTGGATTGTAATATTATTTCTGGTTCCTATATAAATGGGAAAGAAGCCCACACCCTTTTTTCATTCGACATAGACGTTGAGCCAGGATACAAACTGACGAAGGAACCTCATAACATTATTTATCTACCAGTCATACCTGCCGGTCGGCAATACCTAGACAACATTACTATCCGAGTTGTAGATGATAACGGTGAGTTGATTGACTTTGGGGAGGAAACTATCAATATCACACTCGAGTTAAAGGAGATAAACTAATATGGGATTCTGCTTCAAACCACGACATTCAACTAGCACCCATTTAAATAATCATATAAATAGAATCGAAGGGAAAAACATGAACATTCGTCGAGTAACTGTAAAGCGAAGAAGACTTCTGTTGTCTAATAAAGATTATAAATTTCTTCAATCTATTGGATTCCATATAAGATATTAAATAATGGCTGTTTATGTAAGAAATGAGATGTTGGACGTATTTGAAAAGCCGATCGTCGATAACTCAATCAAAAGATGCGATGGATATATCCACCCGCCTACGGGATCGCCAAATTACAAACATTCTGATACAATCACCTTTACGATCAATAATATGGACCTGAATCTCTTAATTTGCGATAGTTACATCAATATAGTCGGAACATTTAAGCCAAAAGAGGCTAATAAAAAGTGCTATTTGGCCAACAATGCTCTTCCTGGCCTATTTGAAGAAATTAGATATGAAATGGGTGGACAAAAGATTGCTGAATGTCGAAAACCCATTATAACGACAGCAATAAAAAATATGGTGTCATATGGTGAAAAACATGCGAAATTATTAGAAACATCCGGTTGGGGCCTCAGCGAAGAGAATCAAGTTTTGGTTGATTCAACGAGTAATACATTTACAGGTAGAATCTTATTAAAACATCTATTTGGTTTTGCTGAATCTTACAAAAAAGGGATAATAGGTGTTAAGCATGAGATGACTGTAATAATTGCTCGAGCATTCGAAAATTGCTATATAGGAGAAGTCGATGCAGACATAACTATCACTAAAATGGATTGGATAGTCAAACATATTACTCCCGAAAATGATGCAGATGTTCTCATGTATAAAAAAATTAATGACAAACATTTGCAATCCATTAAAATACCGCACCATAAATGGGATCTTTATGAATTACCTACTCTAAGACAAACTTCTAACGACATATGGGCGATTAAAACCACTACATCCATGGAACGACCTAGATATGTAATTATTGGATTTCAAAATACTTCTTTTACTGAAAACAGGAAAGAAGATGTGACGGCGTTTACGGCTGCTGATATAAGCAATATCAGATTATATCTAAATTCTGAAGTTTACCCATTAGAGCGTTGGAATTTAGATGTTGGGAAAAAGTTGGATACTCCCGCTTATTATGCTTATGAAGATTTTCAGCGAAGTTACTACAAAAAGGAAAATCCCCAACCGATGTTAGGCCTGAATGGCTTTAGAGCGAACCCCCTATTCGTAATTGATTGCAGTATGTATCCAAAACCAATCAAATCTTCAACTGTGGATGTCAAGGTTGAATTCGAAACACGTAAAATGCAGTTTCCCGCCAACACTAAAGCGTATGCGCTTATTATTCATGAAGCTCTTATAAGTTATAATGCACTAGATGGCACTGTACACACTGAATATATGCCATTGTAGTTCATATAATCTAATTTACTGTATCCAAACTTATACCTGTGTTCACTTTTAACAAAAATAAAAAGATGTAACCTTTTTTAAATAAAAAACAATTAAACTATGTATATTGTTTTATTTATATTTTAATCACAGATAGATAGATACATTATATAAGTAATCCCTAATCCATTTCGTCATCTGTCTCATCATCAGCCTCATCGTCTGCATCTTCATCTAAACCATGTTTACTCCTTATTTGCGGGGTGATGTATGGTAAGGCCTCGTTCAAGAAGCGTTTCAAACTTAGGGTAACCATCTTCTCACAGAATGTATCCAAGTCCAGCTCACATGCATTATATTCGCAGCAAAGACTGCTGCCTTTACAGTATTTCTCATAACAATCGTTTTGATAGGCCACAGCTTCTGGAAACAGCCATACCTCAGCGTCGTAATTGATGGAGTGTAACGCATCCATCGCCAGTGCGTCCAGTTCCTTTCCAAGCCTGCTTATTGCTGATTCTAAGTCGATGGCTTTAGGCCAGTGCTCTTCGGAATACATCATCCACATGTCGAAATAATCTGAAACAATATTTGGCCGTTATTAAATGAACAAATATTGGTAAAGTTATACTTACGATAAAATTGTGGAAATTCTTAATGAAATATTGCGTATATTAGATATCTATATGTGTTTAAAAGTAAAAAAATATTTACAGTGACTCTACCATGGATTTAACTAATTGATTGCTGGCCAACTAGATCGATTCTTATATGAGACCTAGTAGTTGAGTTGTAACACGGCTTTTCCCCTAAATAGGCCATGGCATATTGGCCAGTAGAATCATTTATCATAGCAATGACTTCGGGTGGCATTATTTCAAAAATGCGTCTCGGTAACCAACACTGGAAAAGCTCCTGTGAGTGCCGATCAATTAAATGAATAAGTAAACATTTACCATATCTGGTATCTTTGACCAATATCGTTTTAATAATATAAAGTTGACCTATAACCAATGACTTTAGTTCTCTTTGGTCCAATATTGTGGGCCAGTCTCCAAGTAATTTATTAACCGCATCAATTTGCGTTTGAGCCATAGTAGAATACAAATAAATATTTTTTTTACCTGTATAATACACAATACTACACAATACTACACTCAGTTATTATTTGAAACTTCTAAAGACTCTTAAAGCTTACGATTTTAAACTGATTCCATTTGGATATGAGGTCGCTATATATCCTCCCTAAAAATCCCCACCTCCACTATATTTTCCTTCTCAATATTCATAGTATGTAATATAGAATACAATAGTAATCACTAGGAGGTAAATAGTAATGACTATTTTAGCGGTACTTACAAGGTGTATAGAGTAATGAGATGTACTTACTATGCTCATTACACTACTCAATTATGTTCATTAAAGTATATAATTTAATGAATAATTGGGAGGCACTTGCTAATTGCGCGAAGGTTGGGATACTACCCCTTCCAACAATATTTACATCGCGCGTGTCTGCCGAAGACCGGTGATTCACTTTAGCTATGGCGGTTGAGAGTCAAGGGTGTGCATGGCGCCGACTTATTTCCCCTATGCTACAACAGTAAACAAGAGAAGTACTTAGACTTATTACACTACGTGATATACACAGTAAATACTGTCTGAGAGGTATGCATATGGTGTAATGAGAGGTACTTACTATGCTCATTACGCTATGTAATTACACTCAGTACAGAATAATTGGTTGGTCCTTACATCACTGTGTGTACTGAGAGGTACTTACTATACTCATTACACTATGCAATTACACTCATTACACTATGCAATAACATGGTGTACAGAGTAATTCGGAGGTACTTGCTATTTGCGCGAAGGGTGGGGGGTACTTGCTAATTGCGCTAAGGGTGGGGGGTACTTGCTCGAAGGGTGGGGGGTACTTGCTCGAAGGGTGGGGGGTGGGTACTTAGGGTAATTACTAATTACACCAATTGCCTCTGACCTTGCCTCTGACCTTGGTCCAGAACTGGCTAATCCCATCTACTTCGGTCAGTGACACCTTGTACGTTCGATAGATAGATAGTTCCTTGGGTTTGTTCTTCACTAGATATGGTCTTATTCTCCCTTGTTAGGTGTTTCATTTCATCGTTGATGTGTCTTGGTACACACATCCTTAACGCTCTGTTTGCTAAGGCGTTGATAACCGTGCGCTTCTGTTTTTGATGATGATTGTATCTATATAGTAAGTATCGATCAGTGTGTGTCTTTTTTTGTATACTTTGTGGCCTAGTTTATTGTCTTCTCGGCTGACTAACACATTTAGGAGAGGAATTTGTCAATTTTCTTCTATTTTCATGATGAACTGGACTTTAGGATGAAAACTGTTTAAGTGTTTTAGGAAATTATGGGGTCTTTTTTCCCGTGGCTCCAGATTATGTCATCTATATACCTCAGCTAAAGCTTTTGTTGTTTTTCAGCAGTGCGGATAGCTCTCTTCAAATTTTTCCATCTAAAAATTGGACACAACTGGGCTAAGTGGACTGCCCATGGCGACTCCGTCAATTTGATTCTATTGGAAATATGATGTTGTGGCACGTTTGTGAATACAGAGATGATGTCAAAGCTGACTAGGATGTCGTTAGGCTCTTTAAGTGTTGGATGAAGTGTGTAGAGTCTCGAACGTAGGTTTTTGTCTTGCCCACGTGTGTTTGCAGAATTTCCGCCAGATATTTGTCCAGGTTGTAAGTTAGTGATCCTATGGCACCTATTGGTATTAGTGGTACATTCTCTTTGTGAATTTTTGGTATTCCATATAGTCTTGGTGGAAGAGCTTCAGTAATGTAGATTTTATTATTTGTTTCCGTTGGTAGTGACGACTGTTTTATTAATTTGGTGGTTTTTCTTAAAATCTTCTTGTTGGATCTTTCGATACTCTCTTATATGTGTCTTGATTGACCAGATCATTCAGCTTACTCCTGCATTCCGATGTGTTCACGACGACTGTTGCATTTCCTTTGTCGGCGGGTATATTTATGATGTTTTCATACTCATTGAGACTTCTTATAGCTGCCTTTTCGCCTCTAGGTGGTTTGGCTTTCCGTAGAATTCTTGCAAATTCACTGCGTACCTCTTCTTTCACATCAGGTGGTACTTTTTTAATTCTTGCTTCTATATTGGCAATGATTTCTTCTGTGGGTATTGTCTGTGGGGTTACGCTTAAATTTCCTCCTTTGGTTAGTAAGCTTGTTCGTCATAAACAAACAAATACATTTTTAAAATAGTAAAAAAGTATGTATGAAAAAGTTTTTTCTAGCCTAATTCAAACCAATCACTTAATTTCATAAGATGTTAACTTTTATTCATATGTTTCTAGGGGTAGTTTGAATCGACCCCTTGATTTTCTCAAATGTTCCTTACATTTTCAATACATTTTTTTCAAAGTTTTATAAAATTTTTAACAAATTTTTACCAACTTTTTATCAAATTTTTTATCAAATTTTCATCAACTTTTCATCAAATTTTTATCAAATTAGCTAATAATACAAAAAAGGTGTGAATCGACAAGAGGTTAATACAAACAACAATTCAAAAATGAATCAAATTTGAGTGCTTTCTAATGAAGTATTTTTTTTGAATTTTGACTATTAATGCCTAAGAAAAAGAACATGCATACAGGGTGTCCCGAAATTAGACGGTCATGTTTTAACAGCGTAATCGACATCCTAAAAGTGAAGTCCTGATGACACATTTTTGTAAATATTTTCTAATCTTTTAAAGATAACTAAGTGAAATTTGGTACAAATGCTAAACTTTTTACGCTCTATTTAATGGACTAAACGCCAGTATTTGATCATTTTCATAGGTGGGTAAATTAGGAGAGGAAGTTTTTTTGTTGATTGTTTTTAACATTAATGACTACAAAATTTGGAAAAAAACCAATATTTTCTTTATAATAAAGCTAGTTTTGTTGTATCTCGCTAGGACGCGTTTGAAAATTTCATGATAAGTTGATGTTATCTTATTCGAAAGTGTAATAGTATATTACACACCGAGGTGGGAAGAGTTTCATTCCTGTCGTGAGAATAGTTAGATCACCGAGACGCGAAGCGTCGAGGTTAGCTATGATCTCGAGACAGGAATGAAACTTCCTACCGAGGTTTGTATACTATTTTATTTACAACCATCATATTTCGATCAAAGTTAATAAATCTCTGTTTTGTTCTGAACATACCTAAAACATTTAACGACAAATTACCAAGCGCGCGGTTTTCTCAGAATAATCAAGTAGGTAAATATATTGTTACTGTGATTACGGGGTAAACAACTGTCACCAATATAAATAAATATCAGATAAAGCCGGATATTAAATTCGCGAATAATAAATATCAATAAGTAGTTTGTTATATTTTAGATCTTTGTTGTTTTTTATTGTTTGCCATTAAATAGGTATTATAAAATTTGTCAAACACTGTGTTATTTTTTTTTAATATAAAAAATATTCATCTAGAATAGATGAAATGAGGGCGGGAAGTGAGGGCGGGAAGTAGAGGTGTGTAATGTGACACTTCCCAACCTTTAATGACGTTAGTAATGACAACATTACATATATGGTTGTAAATAAACAAATTAGTAGGCCTGTGGAATCAGAAATTTTATTTTTTTTTAACTTTGGAAAACCGGTGGTTAAATAAATTTTAGAAAATATTTACAAAAATGTGCCATCATGACTTTACTTGTAACACCCTGTATCTCGGATCTATGTTTACATGAACTTTATATTTTAGGATGTAGATATATAAAATAAATAAAAAACATGGGGGTGCAATTTGAAAAATGAATGTTAGGGTGGTTTTTAGAGGTTGATTAGAGTTTATCCTGTAAAAATACTTAAAAAAAGGGGTATCTTGTTAAATAACTTAGATTGTCAGAGATCTATGGCACACCCGGTATGATGGTATACAATATCGGTTAACGATCACTTTCCAATACTCTTTGCATAAGTGCGTGTGAAAACTACAGAGAGTTAGCATTAGAACGAATAGGAAACGAACACTAATAGCGATACTATTTAATACGGCCCTGACAACATTATATCGGGGTCGGACCATATAAACTGGCAACGCTATTATTCGTTTCCTACTCCCCCATTTGTTAACTTTGTAGTGTAGTTTTAATATGCACAAAACGTATTGGAAAACGTTCAGTGGCCGACCATGTATACCTTTCTTTAATGTTTCAAAGATGGTTTAGCCACAGGAAGTTAATTTAATATTATCACGGTCGATTTTAGTAACTCGCCGCAGCATGACAAATCGACCATTAAAAATCGACCCATATAAAAGCAACCCATATAAAAACGACCCATATAAAATGGACCCATATAAAATGGACTCATATAAAATCGACCCATATAAAATCGTCCCATATAAAATCGACCCATGTAACCTTCATATTAGTTTTTTTTTCTAAAAGCGGTTCTAATAATTTCTAGTCATGCTAGTTTAGGGTTACAAGATGACAGGATAAGTCCGGACATGTCCGGAATTTTGGCGTTTTGTCCTGACTGCCCAGGAATTGTAAATTCTCCGTAATTTTGCGGAAAATTATCAAACGTATCAAGGTATATAGTTCTTTTGACCGTTGTAATGAACTTTTGAATATGTTAACAAAAATCGGGTTAACTATATGGCTGTATTTAATTTTTTTGTTCTCGTTTACTCATAGTTCAACCGCTTGCAACATGTGGTCGCTTTTATTTTTATATTTTGTTTATAGGGCATTATTTACTTCACGTGGCACGATGCACGATTACACGTTTGTACTATTAAAATTCCACATTGCAAGCAGATTTTCTCTCATTGTGATTTAAAATGAGTTTTTTAATGCGTTGCTTTAGCGCATATTTGTTTCAGGAAAACTGCATAAATTGGTCACTTAAATAACACAATAATTGTTAATTCGTATCGCTATGCTTAGAGTTAAAACTCTATTTATTTTAAACTTCATAGTAATTTTATTGTTGTTTTTTAATCAACATTCTATGAAAGTTGAATCTTTGTTTTTAATAAAGATTTTATAAAATCTAGGCGTTGCCTCGGTCACTGCTTCTTGTGGGAACATGTAAAAATAATATAGGTAGGTACCTAAAGGCGCATCCACATCAATATACTTGTGTTTTGTGCGTTTACCACGTTTTTCGTCGAAAAATTTTGTGTTGTTTTTTACTTTCCTATCTGTATACAGATATAAGGAAAGTATAGGAATCATGATTTTTTTCGACCTCGCGTTTTCGACGGATTTTTACGTTTTGAGGTCCCCTGAATCCGTTTTGACTATTTTGTTGACCCAGAAGCAATATTAAAATCTTAAGGTCGCCACACAGAATCTAGTTGTGATGCTTTTAGTTTATTCTTAAAAACAGTTTTCCAGGTTTTCGTAGTTTTCATTTAGCTGGCTTGAATGACCAACAGGATCAGATGCATATAAACTGACATTGTGTAGTAGAACAGCTTTAAGGCTTTGTTGATTCTGTAAAAAGTCTCCACTTGGTAGGAGCACTAAGGTGAATAAACACCTCAGATACGTTTTGGAATAATACAAGTGAACCAGCTCTAAATAATCGACGAATTCAACCTCACGATTTCAATACCAATAAAACGTAGTTCCTGGAACAAGTAATTTTTTTACTTATAACCTAGATCCTTAAATCTCAGAAAGATGTTTTGAAGTCCTAACTCTCTGACTAAATCGTTTAGTTCTAATTGAGAAAATAGCTGCGGTTCACCGTCTCTTGAAGTAGACAATTCAAAAATGTCAATATCTGTATCTGTTGAAGATTCGGATTGGACACTAGACTACAATGCTTTAGATGGAATAGGTACTGATATATCAGCATCATGTGAGTCCCAGTTTATCTGGATCTCTAAGTTTCACTTTAAAATAAACAAAATAATACAAAATCAGTAATGTTTCTTTTAAACTTTTCACAAATATAACAAAAGTCAGCATTCCTATTTTTTCCACAACTGCTAGACATTTTTTATAAAAACACAAAACACTGATATAACTAGATATACATCTGTTTGAGTCTTAGAATATATATATAGTCAGGAAGGACGAATCCTAAACGACCTTGAAATCGCAATGGTATCTAATTTTGACTGAACTAGACGAATACGGCGACAAATATTTCCGGTCCGCCAGTGACGTTCTGTCATAAAGGGGCATAGAAAAGAAAATAATAAATTCTCATTTGCATATTATCTAAATTTACCCATTTTTCTCATTTTAACGAATTGCTATTTTCTTGCGAGAAGTTTCCATTTTTTTTTATTAACCCTCATTATGTGAATAAATTTTAATTTAAAATTGCATGTTGGGTGGGATAAATATAGGAAAATATTTTTGGGATAATTTATAGAGGGATTTCATTTGAAAAATCAAAGCAATAATGTATTAAAAAAAAATCATGATTCCTATACTTTCTTTATATTTGTATACAGATAGGAAAGTAAAAATATTGACTTTTTTACGTCTTTATTATGACAATGTCTTTATTAATCTACATTTTACAAATTATTAAGGTTTGAAAAATAAATATGTTTTGTAGATATGCGTTAAAAAAAAAAACTTATATTTAGGTCAAACACCGCTGTGATATTTCTTTCTTAGATGTTTTTGTTGGAGTACATATAAAAGTTCCAAATATCGAAGAAAATTTCTGATCATTTTATTACATAATATTATTAGTAATATTTTTTGCAGGACAATTTTGCATAAGCAGGTAAAACACCTTTCCAAGAAAGAATCCTATAACGTAATAATGATTCTATGAGTGCAAAATCGATTATTTTTTTAAATGTACATTCAACGCTTTATTTGTATGCTTAGTCCAGTTATTTTGATTTTTCGGCTGCAGAAGAAGGCTGGTAGAATCATAACTGGTTCCAAATTTAGAGAACATTGTCAGCCCTTGTTTATTCAGCAAGGAATAATGCCTCTACCAACGATTTATATATTTAGTGTCCTTTTGGAAATTCATAAGAAATTATCATGTCTTTCTAGGCAGTCCGACATTCACAAATATCCTACCAGACAAGCTAACAACTTAAGAATAAATAGATATCGTCTAAATAAATCAAAAAACAATTCCCTCGACCTTGGTCTTTATAATGTATTGCCATCCGAGTTTGGGCTGCTGGAGTTCAATTCATTTAAGAAAAAATTAAAAACATTTATGTTG